CAGTAGTACAGCAGTATCAGCAGTAGTAGCAGCAATAGCAGCAGTAGTAGCAGCAGTATCAGCAGTAGTAGCAGCAATAGCAGCAGTAGTAGCAGCAGTATCAGCAGTAGTAGCAGCAATAGTAGCAGCAGTAGCAGCAGTATCAGCAGTAGTAGCAGCAGCAGTAGTAGCAGCAGTAGCAGCAGTAGTAGTAGTAGCATCAGTAGCAGCAGCAGTAGCATCAGTATGATTAGCAGTAGCAGCAGTAGTAGTAGTAGCATCAGTAGCAGCAGCAGTAGCATCAGTATGATTAGCAGTAGCAGCAGTAGCATCAGCGGTAGCAGCAGCAGCAGTAGTAGCAGCAGTAGCATCAGCATCATCATCAGTACCACCACCACCTTCACCACCACAACCACCACCACCACCACTCACCCTCACCCCCACTCACCACAACCACCACCACCACCCCACTCACCACAACCACCACCACCACAACCACCACCACCCACCCTCACCCCCACCCCCACCCCCCACCACCACCACCCCCCCCACCACCACCACCACTCACCCTCACCCCCACTCACCACAACCACCACCACCACCCCACTCACCACCACCACAACCACCACCACCACCACCACCCACCCGATGTTGTGGTTTAGTTCGGCGATCTCGGAGCGAAGTCGCAACGACTCCTCCTGCCACAGCTGCCGTTCGGCCTGCAGCTTGTTGATGTGAGACACCGTCTTGTGTAGCGTGGCAGCCTTACTCACCTACACAGTACACACACAGTACACACAGTATACACACAGCACACACACAGTACACACACACAGTAAACACACACAGTACACACAGTACACACACAGTACACCATAGGCCTTGACCAGGTCAATAAAGCAAAGATGTAGGCCTTGTTGGAATTCCCTACACCTCTGCTGTAGCAGACGGACAGAGAATATGGCATCTGTGCAGGACCGCCCTTTCCTGAAACCGCATTGGGGCTCCGCAAGCCTCTCCTCAGCGTGCCTAGCAAGGCGATGTTGAATAATCCTTGCATTAATGATCGTGAGCAGAGGGTCAGGGACTCCGAAAGCACGAAGAACAACCCAGAGCCCAGGCCTACTGATGGTATCATAGGCCTTGACCAGGTCAATAAAGCAGAGATGTAGGTCTTGTTGGAATTCCCGACACCTCTGCTGTAGCAGATGGATAGAGAATATGGCATCTGTACAGGACCGCCCTTTGCTGAAACCGCATTGGGGCTCCGCAAGCCTCTCCTCAGCGTGCCTGGCAAGGCGATGTTAAATAATCCTTGCCAGGACCTTTCCTGGCCTCACACTGAGGAGTGAGATGCCCCTGTAGTTGTTACAGTCTGTGCGGTCCCCCTTCTTAAAGAGGGGGACCACCAGGGCATCCTTCCAGTCCTGCAGAACCCGTCCAGTGGTCCAGACTGTTGTTATGATGTCACGTAGGGCAGTCTGTGCACAAACGCCACCCTCCCTCAGCATTTCGCTTGGGAGATCATCTCTGCCCGGTGCCTTTCCTGGTCTCAGACTCCGGATCGCCTTCAGTACTTCCTCAACAGATGGCACCTCAGCCAGCCACTCACAGGGGGTGACCTCTTCTGTCAATATTTGAGGCACCGCAGCCTCAGCAGGGTTATCACCACTTTGTCCCACGATGTTTTCCTGGCTGAGAGAATTTCCCTCCCCCAGGTACTTCACAGAAACGCTCAGCAAATCTGCAAACCTGTTCCTGGGGGTCGGAGATTGGATCTCCGTTTTTTCCCCTAATGATGGTAATAGGTGTGGCGCTGCAGGCTACTTTTTTGATGAATGAGTTGGGCGTCTGCGTGTGTCTCTCACTCTCACCTTGAGCTGGGAATGAGTTGATAGCGAAGGAAAAACGAATGAGTTGAGTGTCTCTCTCTCACCTTGAGCTGGGAATGAGTTGATAGCGAAGGAAAAACGAATGAGTTGAGGGGTCTCCGCGTGTCTCTCACCTTGAGCTGGGAATGAGTTGACAGCGAAGGAGAAACGAATGAGTTGGGGGTCTCCGTGTGTCTCTCACCTTGAGCTGGGAATGAGTTGACAGCGAAGGAGAAACGAATGAGTTGGGGGTCTCCGTGTGTCTCTCACCTTGAGCTGGGAATGAGTTGACAGCGAATGAGTGGAGAGCTGAAGGAAAAACGAATGAGTTGAGGGGTCTCCGTGTGTCTCTCACCTTGAGCTGGGAATGAGTTGACAGCGAAGGAGAAACGAATGAGTTGGGGGTCTCCGCGTGTCTCTCACCTTGAGCTGGGAATGAGTTGACAGCGAAGGAAAAATGAATGAGTTGGGTGTCTCTCTCTCACCTTGAGCTGGGAATGAGTTGATAGCGAAGGAAAAACGAATGAGTTGAGGGGTCTCCGTGTGTCTCTCACCTTGAGCTGGGAATGAGTTGAGAGCTGAAGGAAAAACGAATGAGTTGCGTGTCTCCGTGTGTCTCTCTCTCTCACCTTGAGCTGGGAATGAGTTGATAGTGAAGGAGAAACGAATGAGTTGAGGGGTCTCCGCGTGTCTCTCACCTTGAGCTGGGAATGAGTTGACAGCGAATGAGTGGAGAGCTGAAAGAAAAACGAATGAGTTGGGGGTCTCCGCGTGTCTCTCACCTTGAGCTGGGAATGAGTTGAGAGTGAATGAGTGGAGAGCTGAAGGAAAAATGAATGAGTTGCGTGTCTCCGCGTGTCTCTCACCTTGAGCTGGGAATGAGTTGATAGCGAAGGAAAAACGAATGAGTTGAGGGGTCTCCGCGTGTCTCTCACCTTGAGCTGGGAATGAGTTGAGAGTGAATGAGTGGAGAGCTGAAGGAAAAATGAATGAGTTGCGTGTCTCCGCGTGTCTCTCACCTTGAGCTGGGAATGAGTTGACAGCGAAGGAAAAACGAATGAGTTGGGTGTCTCCGCGTGTCTCTCACCTTGAGCTGGGAATGAGTTGATAGCGAAGGAAAAACGAATGAGTTGCGTGTCTCCGTGTGTCTCTCACCTTGAGCTGGGAATGAGTTGAGAGCTGAAGGAAAAACGAATGAGTTGAGAGCGAATGAGTGGAGAGCTGAAGGAGAAACGAATGAGTTGAGGGGTCTCCGTGTGTCTTTCACCTTGAGCTGGGAATGAGTTGACAGCGAAGGAGAAACGAATGAGTTGAGGGTCTCCGCGTGTCTCTCACCTTGAGCTGGGAATGAGTTGAGAGCTGAAGGAAAAACGAATGAGTTGCGTGTCTCCGCGTGTCTCTCACCTTGAGCTGGGAATGGGTTGAGAGCTGAAGGAAAAACGAATGAGTTGAGAGTGAATGAGTGGAGAGCTGAAGGAGAAACGAATGAGTTGAGGGGTCTCCGTGTGTCTCTCACCTTGAGCTGGGAATGAGTTGACAGCGAAGGAAAAACGAATGAGTTGAGGGGTCTCCGTGTGTCTCTCACCTTGAGCTGGGAATGAGTTGACAGCGAAGGAGAAACGAATGAGTTGAGGGTCTCCAGTCCGGCCTTGATGTTGAATCTCCGCTTTTGCTCGGCTGAGATGTGCACGAAGCGTCGCGCCTCCTGCCGGAACGCCACGAGGCCAGATACAATCAGCACGCGACGACACGCGGAACCACGGAACCACGGGACCACGGAACCAGGAACCACGGGACCACGGAACCACGGGACCACGGAACCACGGAACCACGGGACCAGGAACCACGGAACCACGGAACCACGGAACCACAGAACCACGGGACCAGGAACCACGGAACCAGGAACCACGGAACCACGGGACCAGGAACCACGGAACCACGGAACCACGGAACCAGGAACCACGGAACCACGGAACCAGGAACCACGGAACCACGGAACCACGGGACCAGGAACCACGGAACCACGGAACCACGGAACCAGGAACCACGGAACCACGGAACCAGGAACCACGGAACCACGGAACCAGGAACCACAGAACCACGGAACCAGGAACCACGGGACCAGGAACCACGGAACCACGGGACCACAGAACCACGGAACCACGGAACCACAGAACCAGGAACCACGGAACCACAGAACCAGGAACCACGGAACCAGGAACCACGGAACCACGGAACCACGGAACCACAGAACCAGGAACCACGGAACCACGGAACCAGGAACCACGGAACCAGGAACCACGGAACCACGGAACCACAGAACCAGGAACCACGGAACCACGGAACCAGGAACCACAGAACCACGGAACCACGGAACCAGGAACCACGGAACCACGGAACCACAGAACCAGGAACCACGGAACCAGGAACCACGGAACCAGGAACCACGGAACCACAGAACCTCGGAACCACAGAACCAGGAACCACAGAACCAGGAACCACAGAACCACAGAACCTCGGAACCACAGAACCAGGAACCACAGAACCAGGAACCACAGAACCACAGAACCACAGAACCTCGGAACCACGGAACCAGGAACCACAGAACCAGGAACCACAGAACCACAGAACCACAGAACCTCGGAACCACGGAACCAGGAACCACAGAACCAGGAACCACAGAACCACAGAACCACAGAATCACAGAACCACAGAACCAGGGACTAGGGACCAGGGACCACCACCGCTGGTGACGACCACGGTGGTGGTGGTTCTACTGATGATGATTCTACTGATGATGGTGATGGTGGTGATAGTGATGCTGATTCTACTGATGATGATTCTACTGATGATGATGATGATGATGATTCTACTGATGATGATTCTACTGATGATGATGGTGATGGTGGTGATGGTGATGCTGATTCTACTGATGATGATTCTACTGATGATGATGGTGGTGATGATGATGATGATGCTGATTCTACTGATGATGATTCTACTGATGATGATGGTGGTGATGATGATGATTCTACTGATGATGATGGTGATGGTGGTGATGGCGATGCTGATTCTACTGATGATGATTCTACTGATGATGATGATGATTCTACTGATGATGATTCTACTGATGATGATGGTGATGGTGGTGATGGTGATGCTGATTCTACTGATGATGATGGTGGTGATGGTGATGATGATGATGCTGATTCTACTGATGATGATTCTACTGATGATGATGGTGGTGACAGTGATAGTGGTGATGGTGGTGATGATGATTCAACTGATGATGATGGTGTGATGGTGGTGATGATGATGGTGATGCTGCTGATGATACTGATGATGATGCTGATACTGATGATGATGATGCTGATGATGATTCTACTGATGATGATGCTGATACTGATGATGATGCTGATACTGATGATGATGCTGATACTGATGATGATGCTGATGATGCTGATGATGGTGATGATGATTCTACTGATGATGATGCTGATACTGATGATTCTACTGATGCTGATGATGATGCTGCTGATGCTGCTGATGATGCTGATGATGATTCTACTGATGATGATGCTGATACTGATGATTCTACTGATGCTGATACTGCTGATGATGATGCTGAAGGGCATGCGGTACCTTCGGAGGCCTGAGACCACCGCCACCACCGCCACCACCGCCGCCACCACCGCCACCACCGCCACCACCGCCACCACCACCACTCTCCGTGTGTGTGGGTGGAGAGGGACAGGGATGAGGGTGGAGCGGCTTCGACATCGCTGGAGGAGACGCACGGAGACTCTGTGTGTGCGTCTCGTCTGCACACACACACAGACACACACACAGACACAGACACACACACAGACACGGACACACACACAGACACAGAGACACACACAGACACACACACACAGACACACACACACAGACACACACACATACACACACAGACACACACACACACAAACACACACACACACAGACACACACACACACAGTCACACACACACAGACACTCACTCACCCAGCCACTCACCCACTCAGCCAGCCACCCACCCAGCCACTCACTCACCCAGCCACTCACTCACCCACCCACTCAACCACTCACTCACCCATCCAGCCACTCGCTCACCAACTCAGCCACTCACTCACCCACTCAGCCACTCACTCAGCCACTCACTCACCCACCCAGCCACTCATTCATCCACCCATCCACTCACTCACCCACTCAGCCACTCACTCACCCACCCAGCCACTCACTCACCCACTCAACCACCCACCCACTCAGCCACTCATCCAGTACGTGTGTACACGCTGTGTGTATGTGTGTGTACGTGTGTACGTGTGTGTGTACGTGTGTGTGTATGTGTGCACGTGTGTACGTGTGCTGTGTGTACGTGTGCTGTGTACGTGTGTACGTGTGTACTTGTGTGTGTGTGTACGTGTGTGTGTGTACGTGTGCTGTGTGTACATGAGTGTGTGTACGTGTGTGTGTACGTGTGCTGTGTGTACGTGCTGTGTGTACGTGTGTACGTGTGTGTGTGTACGTGTGTGTGTGTACGTGTGCTGTGTGTACGTGTGTGTGTGTACGTGTGTGTGTGTACGTGCTGTGTGTGTGTGTACGTGTGTCTACGTGTGTGTATGTGTGTGTATGTGTGTGTGTACGTGTGTGTGTGTCTGTGTGTGTATATATATGTGTGTACGTATGTGTACGTGTGTGTACGTGTGTAAGTGTATGTGTGTATGTGTGTGTGTGTACGTGTGCTGCGTGTGTGTGTGTGTACGTGTGTGTGTACGTGTGTGTGTACGTGTGTACGTGTGCTGTGTGTACGTGTGTACACTGTGTGCACGTGTGTGTATGTGTGTGTGTATGTGTGTGTGTGTGTACGTGTGTGTGTGTGTACGTGTGTGTACGTGCTGTGTGTGTGTGTACGTGTGTGCACGTGTGTGTACGTGTGTGCACGTGTGTGTACGTGTGTGTGTACGTGTGTGTGTACGTGTATGTGTGTGTGTACGTGTGTGTGTGTGTACGTGCTGTGTGTACGTGTGTGCACGTGTGTGTATGTGTGTGTGTGCTGCGTGTCCGTGTGTGTACGTGTGTGTCTGTGAGTGCACGTGTGTGCACGTGTGTGTATGTGTGTGTGTGTGCTGCGTGTACGTGAGTGCACGTGTGTGTCCGTGTGTGTGTGTACGTGTGTAGAGGAGTAGAGGAGAGTGGTGGCGTCGTGTGCGCTGTCCGGTGCGATGACATCACGGGACGTGGGGTCGCACGCGCGCTGGGCAGTGCACGTGACGTCACGCCTCCTAGGGTACTTAAGGGATACCCCGTGACATAAGCAGGGTCACTATAGGAACGGGGATAGTAAACAGGGTGAAGAGGGAACCA